CTACCCGTGTTGTCCTCATTGGGATGAGCGGGTACTCCAAAGGCAGTGCGGCCACGGATGGTGAAGTACTGGCAAGTTTGCTGGTGCTTCTGGGGGTCAAGGTGTGTCTCCACGAATATGTGAACTTCGCTTTGGCGGGCCCAGTACCAGTCCACAACCTGGCGGCCAAAGTTGGTGATATTGGCGAAGTGGACTTGGTTGTGGGGTTGCTCAAGCCGGGGTCGCTTGTCCGGGCTGGGATGAAGCGGAGGGTCATAATCAGGCTCAGCCGGTGGTGGAAGTGACCTGATGACCTGCTGTGTTGTTCTGAAGGTGTCGATGTGCGCAGCCCACACCTGTGTGACTTGGCTGGCCAGTTGCGGCGTCAAATGGTCCAGGTGCACTGGAGGTTTGCCATCATCAGCCAACCACATGAGGTCGCGGTAAATGAGGATGGCAAAGTAGTGGCCATTGTTGTGGGTCTGTCCTCTGTGGCAAATGAGGGCTGCCGGGACATACTCCGATGAGGCTCGAGCGAACCCATCCAGTGATTGGGGCACTGTGAAAGTGCCGTAGGGGTTGAGGATTTTAGCATGCTTGGTCATGACGCCCTCAACACAGGTGTTCCTGGTGATGTGGCTGATGAGGACCGGCTTGTCATCCAGCAAAAATTGACCCATGCCTTGGTTGGCCCATCCATTGAAGAGATCCTGAAGCCTCGTGTTCTCTGGCCAGTCATCGGGGAAGTCGATCAAGAGGGGCTGCTGGATGTGGTCCTTCAAGTAACCACCTTCACGAATCTCTGCAAAGCGGTAGTGGAAGGCCCTCGTCTGGGAGATGTTCCAGAGGGTGTTGACAAAGTGGTTGGCATCTCCCTGGATGTTGAGATCATGCTTCTTCCACAGCGGGTGCAGTCCCGGGAGCTCATGGATGTCCACCGCTTCTGCCAACTCAAGTGATTCTTGAACTGCTGCTTGTAGATTTCCCCACGGTTGGGTATTTGTCTCTTGGAGGAGCGCACATGTCCATGTGAAAGCCCTCCAGGGTGCATTGGCATAGCATCTGGCACTAGGATTGCCGACCGTCATCGTCAGGTTCTGCAGGATGCATTCAGTCGTTGAGGCGTAAGTGCCGTGCATCATGGTCTTCCCTCCTTTGGAGGTGGGAGGTCTCTTGTGTGTTCCTCCTCCTTCGATGGTCACGACTTCTGGGCCAGGTGCACCAAACGCCAGGCCATCATCGGTCGCGGGATGAAAAGAGTCAAAACTGGGTTCCTGTGAAGGAAGGTGATCGTAAGCTTCATGAACAAGGGTGTGTGTCCCTTCACACTTGTTTGAAGCATCCCTTGAAACTGCAATGTGTTGCAAAAGTGGCAAGGGAAATTGTGCATGTTCCCCATCACAATCTTCCATTGTCATTGACCCCGCCGATGCTGGTTTTGAGGCAGCGCGGCAAACCATATGAGGTGTTGGTGCCTGTTCAAAATCATCCAAGGGAACCGGCACCTGGAGCCCTTGAAACCCTGGTGGCATGGACATCGGGTTACCCACCCGACCCCGGCGATGGCGGGACTGTCTGTGTGTCCGTTTTCCTGCGCTTTGCGAGGTCCGTGTCCATGTCATTGGGCCTCTTGAGCAGGCCATGGAGTTGGGTCTTCTGTTCAGCTGACAGTGAGACTCCAAGAGTGGCTACGAAGGTCTCGACAGCCGCAGGTAGCGGGTCCACCTCCATGCTGGTCTCCAGGTCAGTGGGTGTATGCTCAGTGTTCACCGCCTTCATGTAGTCTTCTGAGGTCAACTTGAGTGCTTGCTGGCCATCATGAAGCTTCTGCTGGAGCTCCTGCATCTCAGTGAGGAGACCTTGGTATTGTGCCTTGGTGAGGTTGAGCTTCTCTTGAAGTTGCGTCTTCTTCATGGAGAGATTCTTCAGCTCGGTGACCTGTCCCTTCAGCTTGATGGCTATGTCCTGCTCAGTAAGAGGTGCTGGAGCTGTGAGGCGTGAGACGGCCTCTTGGACCTGAGCTGGCAAGGCCGCCATGTGGGTCTTGAGCATCTCATGAAGGTCCGGCTCGGGCGGTTTCTTGGGTCCTATGCCAAGATGCTGCAACTTGTCTTGCAGCTCATTGGGCATGCCACTCCAGACTGGTTCAAGGAGTTCAGTGGCTTCTTTCTGGAGCTTGTTCTTCTTCAGGGGTTTCATCTTGCTTAGGCCTGGTGGTGCCTCCAACCAAGGTGTGTGCTTGGCAGTGTCGGTCTTGGTGAGCCGGCCTTGTCCTTTGCCTTTGCCTGTTCCTCCTTGTGTGACCTTGAGGATGGGCCACCAAGTACCACATAGCCGACATCGCGTGTCAGGTCGGAGCTTGTCTTGCCAGATCCAGTTGGTGCACTGATTTTGCCGACATGTGACATAGCTCCTGCACCATGAGGTAGCCCTGAAGGCCGTCATAGTCCAGGGTACAGGACACCTCAGGGATGTGCTTCTAGCTCGGGAAGTAGGCAAAGGTCGGGTCACCGAACACAATCAGGCCCAAGAGAAAGGCAGAGCTGAAGTGCCAGTCACCTCCAGGTCCCCACGGAGGTAGTAGCAAGATCAGCCAGTTGCCGAAGAGGTCCACAAGAGCGGCCAAGTGGAAGAGCAAGATTGCGGGCAATGAATGTGTTGTAGTGGGACTTGCTCCGGTCCTTGGTGGCCTGGTTCTGCACGCTATGTGCGCTAGGGGTTTGCGCACTAGGTCGATTTGGGGGCCACGACCTTGAACAGCTGGACGGCTTGAGCCATGTATGTATGTATGTATGTATGTATGTATGTATGTATGTATGTATATATGTATGTATGTATGTATATATGCGCAGTCCGTTCCATGGACTAGCTAAAGAACGATGTCCAAACTTTGGTTGAACATCTATCTCTACAATTTCTAGATATATGGCCTTATTTGTTCCTATAGAAGCTTGGCTAGCAGCTAGAGGAGCATGTATTTCAATATTTCCAGCTGTTCTGGAAGTATTTCGTAGCACGCACAGCATCTTGGGGACCTTGAAGTGTAGATCGGTGGTGCCGCAATATTACAGTATATTATGCGAATATCAACCTGGAGATTTCGTGGCAGGCCCACACTTGGTGGACATCGAAATACAGATTCCGTGACAGGAGCAGCACTTCAACCACCTCCACTCGTATCTGCACCCGCACCGACCTCCATTACAGCCGATCCCCACCACTAGCACCACCACTATACCAACTTCATCACCATCACCACCTCATCACCACCTCCACACTGCTTGGATCTCTTGCCTGGATCGCCATATTTTGGTATTGTCCTGGTACAACTATATAACGCCAAGCTGAAAGGCAAAGGCTACGCGCAGCTCAGAAAGGAGCAGTGGAGTGCCTTGAAGGAAAGAGTTGCTCAAACAAACAAATCAACATCAAGGGAATCAAGGAACGATCATTTTTCCTAGCCCTTTAGAATACTGGCATGCATTTGCCAATGATCGAGCAGATAGGTCCGCAAAGCAGGCTTTGAAGAAGTCCAATGTTTATGCAATGTTAGCAAAATCTTTTGACCGATTCCAAGAGACCATGATTCGGGCAAGGAAGCTTGGAGAGACTTTGTTCTTGATTTGGCATGCGTAGCTAGGTCTCTAACAAAACAAGAAGTTCTACTTGAACCAGGTTCCTGTATCCCTGTGAAGTGGGTACCTAGAGGGCCTTTTCTTGGCGCGACTGTGCTTAGAATAGAAGCTCCATGCCCTTTTGGAACAACTTTTCTGAAAAGAGCGCTCCGTTGGGCCACTGCTCTGAAGTGGCCTGTCAATGTAGACCCAGCTCATCCTGAAAACATTTCTTGCCTCGAGCTTTACATTGATTTTGCAATTAGTACTGGGACTGTTGCCCCAGTCAATGTGAATCAATGCTCTGGCCCAGGACATAAAGCAATATATATATATGTACCTGATGAACATTTCTCGGCGCAGGTTGCTTCCGCAATCTTGGCGCAACAATCCAGAGTGTGGAGTGGATCCGGTTTCTCAAATGGGTTCTTGCAGTACAAGGTGAGACAAAAGGTTTTCCCGCAAGCTTTGTCAAGCACTGCAAACATTTGGGTCCGTTAGGCTATAGGTTGTGGTTGCCTGGAGTGGATAGGCGTCCATTGTTGGTTTCTTCCGATAGACCTTTCGAGGTCTTACAGGCACTATTTAGGGCGCCATCTCACAGGCGTACTTTGGATTTCTATGGATTTCTCCTTTTCACCCCGGAACTTCGTTACATCGCCTGTTGTCAGTGTGTATATAACTTCTTGTTGATGGAACGCTCCGTGTGTTCTCACGCGGATAATTCTGTGCATCCAAGTACCAATTTGTTTGCTGCAAGCCAGACTTAATTATGTATGCATTGTGCTTTATGTCCTTGGAGCCCTCTGCTTTTCCCACGCATGGCTTAATTGTGAGGAGTTTTCTGTTTTGTGAGTGCTTTCCTCTTCCAAAGAGCGCAAAGCAAATGAAATGCTTGATGGTTTTGTCCGCATCTTAGTTCTCATGTCTTCGACGGGTGAACTGTGATGCTTTGCATTTTCTTGGAAAATGGGAAAGACCCACGTTCTTTCCGATGCAACGGTGCTTCGTGATGGCCTCTTGGCTCTTGCTTGTTGGGGCTCGGAAGACCCCTGGTGCTCTGCCTTTTCGTAGTCTGGCTTTCTCTAGTGGTTCTTTCACGCCTATGCTGGGAATAGCCACAGCTTCTGCCGAAGCACTACAGCGGAAATGCAGAAAAGTCCCTGTTGCGCGTTAACGTGGCTCTTGCGTGCACTTCCCACCAAAAAAATTGGCTCCCACTTCAAAGCGTGGCAAGTCAGCTGCCACCCTTGTGCATCGCCCGTCGCCCTCGCCCCTGGCTTCTCACGCGCATTGATGTCAAAAGCGCTGTGTGAGCGGCGAGCGATATAACCGATTGTCATGCGCAAAGGGGTCCAAAGGGTGAAAATCGTTTGTGGCAGAGCGTCGTGCAACTGGGCGCTCCACTTGACACCAAGCTAAATAGGCTGCGCCAGCAGCCTCAGCTCTCAAGGAAGTCCGATGAAAGTCGCTACTAGGAGCCTGGCATTGCTACTGGGAGCAAGGACGCTACTAGGGGCTCCTGGCATTGCACGCTACTAGGAGCCCGGCATCGCTACTAGGAGCAAGGACGCTACTAGGAGCCTGGCATTGCTACTGGGAGCAAGGACGCTACTAGGGGCTCTTGGCATCGCTACTAGGAGCAAGGACGCTACTAGGGGCTCCTGGCATCGCTACTGGGAGCAAGGACGCTACTGGGCTCCTGGCATCGCTACTAGTAACAAGAAGCTACTAGTTGCCCTCGTCTGTGCCAGATTGGGATGGCCTGTGGTGATCCGCGTCTCCAGCGTGACACCAACTTAGCTACGGCACCAGCACTGTTGCGGGGGCTGTTTATGCGGCGCTCAACAGGTGCCATTCCGGGCGATGCTGCTCCCTTCGCACAGCAATATTCAAACCACATGGCCACATGGCACCATTTGCCCAAGAAAGAACATGTTGAGCTCCCAGTTGTCCGGAACCACAAAAACTTGAGGAACTGACGAGAGCTGTTGGAGGGTACTCATAGTACAGTTCAACCTGATCCATGGACGTTCAAACAATGAGATAGAACGTGGACCCCACGGAGACCAACCAATTTAACGAAGAAGGAAAGGCAGCAGGGCAGCACTCTCCTTCCGCGCAGCCAAGTGCAAGAAAAACTCCGCCAGCTGCCAAACCTTGGACTGAACCGCGTAGTGAAACATGTTGAACGACCCGCCTAGGCCTCCAGCTCGCGTGTTCTGCTTCATGAATCTGGGTCTGATTTGAGGTCTTTATATATATATATACACACACACGATTTATGGAATCTAGGCCTCGCGCATTTTGCTCTTTTGACTGTTGCTGATACAAGGGGTAGGGTAATGTCACATCAGGGGTGGTAAGTAGCATCACCGCATGGCCACGCGTGGAAGGGTAATGTGACTTTGCTGTGGCCTGTTGTGATTGCTGCGATAATGAAGCTATTTCATGAATGATGCAGCTCATTCCAACTAACTTAGAAGGTGATGTTCATGAATGACTGTGCTTAGTGTGTCGGGGTCGTTGTGATCGCTACGGAGAGGATGTTGATTGTAAGTTGTCATTGCTAGGAAGTATAAAACCAGTACAGCACTGAGATACAAACCAGCCAAATGCCAACACTCTTTGATAGGCACCCAGAAGCTTGAGTGCTTGTAGCACATGCTCGCCAACTCTGTCCGGTTCAGCGGCTAGCTGCTAGCTAGTCATGAACCTCGTGCTTGCATGTACAGCCACAATTGCACTTATTCACGCCGGTCTCTCCCAACTTCTTGAAGCCACAACACAGCATTTAGCTAGCAATTCAGAGGCAACATGCATAGGTAACAAATCTCCAGCGTCCAGGTCTCTATAGTCCGCCCTACAGGCGAAAACATGCCTCTATGTGTGTCCAAACTGTACCTGCCCCACAAACTTGTGCGTGGGAGCTGGAGCTATGTGTGTGATCATTTAAATATTATATACATATTTATAATAATATATATATATACATGTCTCCTGTGTCTCCTGTGGAGACTGCCGACTTCGTGGGTGCGTCGCGAGTGGGCCAATGAGCACTGGAAAGGCCATGGTCGTGGCAAAACAGCGAAGACATCAGGGTTGCACCGCCGCACCGCCCGCAACCGACGCCAACGTACCGTTCCCCAGGTTGATTTCACTATATATAAACCATAAACTCCCCTGTGACAATGAGTGCGGTCGCTTCTGTTGAAGGCTGTAGCGACATGGCACAGTGTTAAGACGTGGTGGAGACAAGACCCCACTCTGATGGCCAGTCAAGCTCTTCTCTGATGAGGAACGGTACATGTTTGGGGCTGGCTTTCTGCTAGATGGGAGCACCGCAAGACCCGAAAGCCCTTTTCGCAGTCAAAGCACAGTGTCACCGCAAGCCGCACAAAGACCACATCCCATTTCCTGGAGTCTCTAATGTAGTTGCTTGCCAAGCAAGCTGCAGTGAGTCGTAAAGGACTTCTTACGTGCATATGTCATGTCATATTTCCATGCTCAAGCTTCATGTTGTGGCCAAGGGTCCTTCGATGCTGTTGTGCATCTGAAGGCTAAGAGTCCAAGTGTATCCATCACAGTCCTTAGGGTGTTGTTAGAAAGCACAATGCCGGCGCTCACAGGACTGAACGCGACGATCCGAGAAAGTAACTAAGACTGCATGACGACAGATTGCAAGCACTTGCAACATAAGAAATCAACAAATAAGATACACAAACAGTTATATAACATAACAACATCTTACAAGATGTTGCAAGTACATACAAGTACCGTGTTGAGTGCTAAGAAAACTGCGAGCTTGTGGCGTTTAATTTCGCCTATTGCGAATGTGTGGCGGAGCAGAAACATCGAAGTCCAAAGCATCCAGAACCTGCAAGGTGATCAAGAGATGTTGCTTGCACTGAAGCAATCAATTGCTGACCGGAACTTGCCCACCTTGGCATGCGGGTGAAGCGATTCCAGGAACAGGTCAAACGTGCAAAAACATGCAAACACAGAAAATAGCTCTGGCCTCTCGCTCCTTTTGGAAAATCTGTTTGATTGGGACATTGTACTGACCTGAACAAGTGGTCATGATGTTGGTACATGTTGGTTTGAGTTTGTTAAATGCACTGCCTAAGTGTACAAGAACATCCCGCAAAGGCACTGGAACCTGAAAGTGAAAACAACACAGAAAAAAACTGAGATTGACTGGGCTCATCAAGTCTGCTTGAGTCCAAGTCCACACTGCCGAGAATGGAATCATTGCATAATATTTCATCTCTTCAGCCTGTCCCGTGGTTGGCAGGGTGACGCAACACCGCTCTGGCCTGGCCTCGCCCAGCCCGTGTAATTTCAAGGCAGTGCATGTCACGGCCAATGTTACAACCTCGCGGAGCCATGCGGTAGAGCTGTATCACTCCGTCTCACAAACAATTGGGCTAGCCAATGTCTCAGAGTCTCTGAACTGAGGAGTTGACCTGCATTTGCTCAAGGGGAATAGCTGTGTGCAAGGTTTCCAAGTAGCGGTCTAACAACGATATGGCTGCAAATGCCACAACCTCACATGCAGCTTTGTGCAAACCCCCAAGCAACCTCGTACTGTGAAGAGCCTCTGGAAAGCTCATCGCTTGACATGTTTGGAGTAGCCAATCCACTGCAAGTGCCTCAAGGATATCAAAACACTGAGCTGGGCTCCAATGTCTTCAAGTCTAGAACATTCACTGAAGACCCCCGCCTGCTCGACCGCTCCAATCCTGCAAAGAATGCTTCTGGCTGATGGGCGAAACCTCGCAAACAAAAGCAAGGCGCAACTCTCCGCGCAACCCACCACAAGAAATACCAAACCACAAAGCCAAAAATAGACTTGAGACACAATCACAAAACGTCCCAAAATAACATTTGCAAAAGAACAACAAGGAAGCAGCGCCTCTCAGCTGCAAAGAGCCAGTCCATGGATTTGGTGGAACGAGTGTTTCTCCCAATTTGATTGTGTGGTTCAACTGGCTCCTGGAGACAGGTTTTGCTCAATCGGAACAGTTGTAAAAGAGGAGGTTCAAAGAGTCTGGTCAATCGTTTCTCCAGCGTCGCTACTTTTCCAAAACAATAAATGCCACCAGCAGCATCAATTGTTTCTCATTGTTTCTCGTTGTTGCTCAAGTGTCAGGTTTTGCAGAAAATTCCCCGAGTCCATAACAAGACTCCATGGTATACGACAACCACTCTCAGCCCAATTCCACTGACTGCCACATGAGTTGCCTTGGAGGTATCTTGCAGCTCTTCGCAAATACAACCACAATCAGAATGGACCTCCAGCCAATGCAGAGATGTGTCAGAACGTGTCAGCAATACTTCAGCTGGGTCGGCCCGTCTTTGTGATCTTGTGGCTATCGTTTGTTGAAACAAACAAACGTCGCAAACGTCCATCTACTAATTAAAACAAATCTAGTACTGTATGTCAAGCAAGGCAAACATGTGCAAACAACCCTCTTTGGGTTTGGCTGGCCAATCAGAAGTTGTGGGAGTTTGGCATAGCCACCTGGACAACAGTGTAATGCTGAGTGCACGGCACAAAGATGCTGCGAATGACTTAATTCTGCTGATCTTGAGTTGAGTCTGACCTCCTCGTGGGACTCGGTGATCCCAACGCTCTGCCCTCTGGACGTTGTCCTCTGGAGTCTGTGTCCTTCCAAAGTCACCAACTTAGAGTATCACAGTCCGGCAGGCAAGCGGCGTTGCGGAAGCAAGGCAGCTGTTTAGCCCTGTGAGTCAAGGGCGTTCTGGATAACATGCATAGTTCTTCTCATACCTGCCAACCTAGTCATGCTAACATGCTCTTCGTCCATGGCAATTTGACACAGTACAGTATATTGTTTGGGGCACCCAAGACCTGTTGTGCGTTCAGTCCTGCTTGGGATGCTCATCACCGCAATCGTCACTGCCCGCTGAAGCAAGCAACTCAGACTGTCTGATTCGACTTGGCCAAACGCGCCTTCCTAATTGAGGAGCTTGCGGAGTGGTATCGGAGCATGCTGGGCACAAACCCTGGCAACTTGGAACTGTACGGTGGGAATGCGCGGCAATTTCACTGTCACCGACATCGATACCTCGCAAAGCCGCTTGTAGAAAGGACAGCTCGCCACCCCGAGGACCGTGACCACATGGAGCTTGGTCACTCGGGTCACTCCCGTTATCCAAAAATTGGTCAGGTGGATGGAAATCATCAGGTGGATGACAATCAGGAAACAACTGCTGCAAGTACTCAAGGTTTGCAGGGCCTCGCTTGAGATCTCTCCAAAGAGTGTAGAGCCTCTGGGAACAGTCTTCAATCAAACGGTTCCTGCCAAGTTCTTCCTTTGGCTGTTGCAGCTTTAACTCCCTTCGTGGTTCGATATTTGTGATCTCTCCCAGCACTCGGCGCATTTCTCAAATGCAACATGGAGCGGTTTCAGGAACAAAACATGCGTAACTACAGTAAAGTGAGCTACGCAACAGAATTCTGTGTGTACTACCATAAATTCTAAATATGGCCTTTGGTGTTTGTTCACCTAAAAAAGCCAAAAGGCTGCAGAGTGTCCCAAATAGACTAGACGGGCAAAACACATTGGATATATGATGTACAGTGCGCACACTGTATATGTAAGGATGAACAGTAAGAATTCGAGGGCTGGAATCCAGCCAATGGCCCTTGTCATATTGGCAAACATCAGGAACAAATCTGTTTTTGATCGAAACTTGTTTCGAAAACCAAGGTTGCTTCGCTCAGCAAGCCTTTTACAACAAACAATCGGCGCTTCAAGTTACGCATACGCCAGAGTTACTTCACCTGAATGAGCTGCAAGTTCAGGGCAACAAAGGCTTGCACGCACCAACCTGTCCACACGTGGTGGGCACAAAACGACCCTACTTTGAACTGATCTGAAAAGTTTCAACACCTGGAATATGTTGTAAAACCCAATTGCTCAAAGCAATCAGACAGGGTGGCCCGAAAGCGCCGCGGGAGCAAGGATGTAAGAAAGAACTCAAAAACATATAGCAAGTGCGACAATGACTGATGCAACGGTGTGATGTTTGATCGAGCGACGTTGATGTTGCAATTCCATGATGGTGGTATATGGTGGCACTGTGAGAATGCACAAGATCATTGCGATGAACTGACGTCTGATGGTGTGATAATGATGTACAATGATTTTGTTGCGGAGGAAGAAAATGGCTGTGGGTCAAAACCATTGAGTACCACGACTTGCGATCACATCTGCGAGCTACCTTCACATCCCTTGGTACACTGTGGTACGGGTTTGAAGGAGGTGAAATGTTGAATGTGGTTGAGGTGAATACAAAAAGGTGTGTTTACGTTGGTAGTGACAACTCAAAATTTCACGCGAATAAAAAGGGGTGAAAAAGCAATGAACCGGCAGTTTTATCTGTACCGTATATTCCAGATTCCGAATTAGGACAAACAGGACTCAATGACATGTAGACTTATGCATCTAATTAACGAATGGATCAGGGATTGCATCGTAAGGTTTTTTCTTCCTACGTGCATCCCATAGTTTCCACTTGAGCTTGTACCTTTCTAAGTAATGTCAACCTGTGATTTGTCAACTTATCATGAATAAAACTAAGCAAATCCCAAAACAAATTTATAAACACACCCTAAATAAAACTAAATGTTTTTGTCACTGGACCTAGATATGGCCTTTAGCAAATTGTCCATTAGCTTCGTTTATATAAATAGTGTTAGTGCGTTTCAATTCCTTATTAACTGGTTCCTTCTTTGGATTCCTTCTTACATCCTTCCCTCTTGATTTCATCAATTGGACTCACCAAACTTCAACACCTTCGGATCAAAATTCTTTATAAATTCCATATTCAAAACTCACCAGCAATTGATCAAAATCAGTCTGGAAAGGGTACCCCCTTGAAGCCACAATACCCTAATTAAAGTGTACCCTAAATAAAACTAAAGATTCTTGGGTGCAGATTTTTCCACAATACACATGATCTTTTTGTCTCAATTCCTGCACTTTGCTGCAGCTGGTGTTCCTGCTGTGCTGGATTCCTAGTTTCTAAATCTAATTTCTATCCATGTAGTTCCCAAAAAGCAAGGCCAATACTACCAATACTAAACACAATTTAAGTCTATTTGAGGTCACTCGGGGGGGGAGGCCTATTGATAAATCAGAGGTGGACATCAGCGCATATCTCGTTTGAGCGGCACTTAAATTATTGGATTTCTATGATCTGGCATTAATTGGTGCATCTGTATGACATGGTGGATTTTGATTCGAATCGATCTGATATTGGAAGATGGCATGCGTTGCTTCCTGCGCTTTCGGAATGATAGGTCGAAATGGCAGTCCTCCACATATTCGCACCGCTTCGCGGTGGAAGCCGCCCGCAAGGAAACCTGTGCTCTCGCAGCCGGCCGGGAAGGGTGTAAATGTAGCAGTAGCAGGGGGGTGAGGGAAGCAGCAGCTTGTGCTCGCGGAGCCGGGAGGAAGCGGAGTTAACCGGGCTCAAGCACGAAGAAGTGCAGAGTGAGGAAAACACGGCGAAGGAAACACCGCCAAAGTTGGGGTAGTACTGGTTAGTGTTGCAGAATACCCCACAAAAGCTGTCCACGACCACCACACACGAACGATATCAATCTCCAGAGGCCATCGCTATTAGGTTGGAGGCCATCGTTAGGTTCTGTCGAGCAAACAGCCTGGACGAACACACGTCCACGATGTCGATAACGCAGTGTCCCCCGCACTGCGTAACCGGCATCGCGAATGTTTGCTTCCGGAGCCATACGGAAAATCATACACGCGATATCAGTTTTTATCAAACAAACTTAAACACACACACACAGAGAAAGACTCCATTTCCTAAACACCAAAGGCCCCTCCCCAAACTAAAGCTGAAGCTGTTATCTGGCACTGGTCTTCCAGCCTACGCGAGCCGACACAACAGATTTTTCTTTTGAAGCCTGGCCTGGCCTGATCTTTCCATGCTTTTGGCATCCTGTTTCTTACAGCGTGGGACAAGATCATACAGTACTGTAAATGCAACAATGCACGACCACACGCCCACAATCGAGAAATTCGCACGCGGCTGAAGCGGCTAATCAACCCATATGGGAAGACAGGCACCTATATAACGCAGGGGAACCATCTAGAAATGAAAGATTAAAAACAAGATCTTGATCCAATACGCAACTGCAGGATCAAGGTTCGCCCGCGTGACTGCAAAGCACAACAGGTTGTAAAGGCCAATAATAGTCTTGTTCGAGTTATTAGTACCATGGAAAGTCAGCGCGAAGCAGGCAGGCGCACGAAGCAGTCTTCACGGTGCTCTGCCCGGCCCGCTTGTGACAAACAAGGTACAATGAGAATCAAATCTGCCTTTGTGTGCACACGCACGCGCAGTTGTTATTCCCAGCCCTGCGGCGAGGCATCAATTGCGCCACGCTGCGTACTAAACGCAACAACGCGACCATCCTCGTGCGCGCAACTTCAAAGCCCTGGCCCTCCCCAAAACATAAAGGGCCAGCGAGATCACCGGCATAAACAAACACTTGATGTAACAAAAAGGCCCAACATCATCCAACATCCACGATTCCTGTGTAGAGGTTTGCCCATGGTAGATGTCAACAGGTGTCTCACTGCAGCTCCCAGTCCCATCCGACGCACTATCTCCGTACAGGGTCACATTTAGCCAACCCATGTGCTTGCATCTCTGCACTTTGAGTTGCCATGATGATGCTGCTGCTGATGATGATGACAATGAAGACGTCGACTTGCATGATGATGACAAGACGATGACTTGGCGATGTTGATGCTGCTGTTGAATAACGCTGATGACAGTGATGGTGACCTTCGCAGGAACCCTCGGGAAAAAAACGGGCCTCTGATCGAAGTTCAGCATTGCGACTCTCCAACTGGGCAGCAAGACATGTCGAAAAGGGTTTCTGGATCTTCTTTTCGCACTCTATGCCTTCTGCAACATGCACTCCTGCTGCTGTATTTCTTCCACCACAGCCTGCTGAACAGTACTGAAACCTTTTGGCATCACTCAACTTCACCTGACATGCTGTGGGTGGCCTCTGAATCTGCTTCATCTTGCACCAGGTCTTCACACGCCTCTTCATCAGCGCTCAATATTTGCAAGCAAACACGCGTCAAAGGGCAATCGCAATTTAGTGCTTGAGCCATCAAATAACACTTGCGGGTGGGGTGGTCTGTTGTTCTCTCGTCGGCATCTTCCCCCTGAAGCGCCCTCAAGTCAGTTTGCGCTGAGCAAAAATTGATACAGTAAGAATGGGCGCAATCGAGGCTGTCAGAACTGTCAGGGCCATGGCCTCCTGCTCTTGACGAGAAATGAGATGTGCATCAGTAGCATCCACCAAGGTGAGAACGTTTACCTTGGTCAGCATCAGTGCCAATTCAAGCTAAGACAGTACAGTAGCACGGCCTACCACAAGGGGATGGTGCTACGATACACACAAAGGAAAGAGCTTAGTAACTTAGTAGATGTTGGAAAAATGAGGATAACAGGAGGACAAGGTTCGGAGATTGGCTAACAGCCGCGGCACAGCTGGTGTCAACAAGGGGGGCAACAGGAGGACAAGAAGAGGACAGGGAGACGACAAAAAGATCCAACAAAAGGACAAGGACTGGAGACGGCTACACCCGCCCCAAGCTTGAAGAAGGACCAGAAGAGAGCAACAGGTGGACAAGAAGAGGACAACAAGAAAACAAACTGATAAAACAAAAAACACATGACAGCAGGAGGACAACGCCCGGGCACAGAGTTTACCGGCGTGGCCAGAGACTGTGGTCAGCTTCTTTTTTCCTAAGAGAGAGCCCCAACACTAAAACATAGTAAAACTGGTGGGGAGTGGTTATTAATCCGGTCTATGCATTAAGAACAATTTGACCTACAGGAGTATCCCTTCGCACATGCCCTGCGGACTCCCTTTTTTCCGGTCCGCAACGATGGCGTCATGCAAGCAGCCCACAACGGCGTACTCGCTCTGGCAGTGTGCACGCAGTGGCACTGTGCATGCAGTGGCTTCTTCTTTTGCTTTTCATCCGTGGTTCCCAGCAACGCACCGAAGTCCAAGAGCACAGCCGATGCGTCACCGACTCACCACATCCTTTTCTTCCACACAGTGCAAAGAGTCCTGCGCGGTAGCAGCTGTTTACGCGGCTCTCAACGACGGACATAGGAGCATTTCCCGGCTGTCTGCGCGGTCCACAGCGACGCACGCAGACCGATGCCTCTCAGCAAGACCAAGAAACGGTTCACCCAGCACCTCCGGCAGGGACTGGACGACAACTCATCCACCAGAAACCGTCGTTCCGCAGAAGCTTGACTGGCCAGGTTCGGAGCCATC